TTTTTTTTTTTTTGCAGACAGGAAGAGTCGAGAGGGGCGCTTACATGATAAGCAGTTTGTCTACAACCTACAGTTAAGTCAACATATTTCAGAGCTGTTTCAACAGTCATACCTTCATTTGATGGGCAACCTTCCGCCATAATAGCTCGTAAAACAGACTCAGCCCTTGCAAGCTTCGCCTCCATTGACAAGCTTGAGTACGCTTCGCTTTTCGGAGGCGAACGATCTCTGTTGTGCAATGAATTGCTATCTCCACTGAGTATCTTTCCACGCGGTACATTTTCTTCCAGAGTGTTTGAATCTTGTGGATCAATCAAGGAGTCTCTTCGCTCTGCCTGTAATGACCGATGGGGTTTTCTTATCGGTGCGTCGCTACCTTCAAGAAATAAAGTTAAGTTTATAAAAGAAATAATTCTATTAAAAATATATAAAGGGATGATACGTTTTCTAATAATTATATTGAATACGGGACACAAACTACGGCCGCCGTTTCCAGCTTGTATCATCCTGAGATTGCTTCAGGTCAAAAGCAATATACGGTAACTTCACTTTAAGGTCCAACTGGGAAAAACCGAAAATTAAAGTTCTCTTCAACTCTCAGTCATTAGAGCTCGGTCAAAAGTGCCTTGAAAGAGAGTACTCAGTAGACGGAGTTGTCATCATATGTGCGTCAAAAGAGCGGACTTAACAGTATTGTTCACCCTTGTGGATATTAGAGCAGGCTTTAATTCTTAGAAAGCACACGTCGGTCTGTATATGAGAGGAAACGAGAAACCAAAACTCATCAATCGAATCTCTGGAGACTCTCGTTTTTCTCAAATTAAAGGCATGACCTCCCGGTGTTCGGGAGGTCATGGGTTCGATTCCTGTCGAGGCCTCAGACTTTTTTTTTTGTCCCACGCTCGTGTCATCGAGCTAAAAATTCACCATCTTTATTCACTTATCGTGCAAATTTTCTTTTAGTCTCCGGTTTGAGAGTTAGGCTTACGGCCTTATGTGCCACTTACAGGCACGAAGAGGATTATGTGC